TTTGCAACCTTTCGGAGTGGGTTCAGTCTAGATTGAGTGGCAGATTGGGTGAAATTATGCGAGTATTTCTGAAATGCACACACCAGCCTAATTTCCACAATACATTAGCCCACTTACTCTCTGACACTTTCGGGTAGGGAAATCTGAATCAGCAGCATAGGAGCGAATGGGCGCATGTAGGCGATGCTATCGTGATGAATGGCCAGCACTTGATTGCTCACGCTTTCGGTTGATCGAGTGTGTTGAGGAGGAGTATTGAAGGAGACCTGGTGCAGAGGAGTGACATTCCCTGCTGGCTGAGCTGCCGGACTCGCGAAGGGTGCTTTGAGCTGTAGAGCATGGGAGGAAAAGTCAAATGAGGACATGTGACGAGGAGGTGCAATAAAATTAGGTTAAGCAGGCGGCAACAGACGGGCAGAATGTGAAGGAAGCTCTATTTGCTCTCTCCCACAGCGGCAAGGCGAAGAGAAGAGACGACATTTGACGCATATTTGTGCGTCTGTCAGTCAAATGCGACTCGACTTTTGACTATAAGCTGCAATTTCAAATAGCGGGTTCGAGTCCCGCTGAGGCTACCAATTAGACCAGTGCTAGCGAGGTCGAAAGCGCAGTCCACTCCTGCATGGATGAGAATGACATTGGCAAGACGTACCTTCAGCATGTTGAGCGAAACCGGGAGAATACAGCTCCGTTGAATAGGCTGGGCCAGACAGCGTGTTTCTCAGCGCGCATTGAGACAAAGGCCGAGTGGCAAAGTGGACTGTCACACTCAGACCGATGAGAGCAGCATTCTCCAAAGTCAAATGGAGGCTTGACGAACTCGGACAGATTTATTGGCCATCCGGTGCAGACTAAAAAGCCAGAGCATTCCTCTTTTGGGCATTTACGAGTAGTAGCCAGACTGTGGCAATCAGGTAGGCCAGATACCGGATCGAGCCATTCGACTGACTTAACTGGCCAGCTTGATGTCCCATTCGCAATGCAAAATGGCGCTGAGCCCAATCGGAGGGTGGGAGGACGAAGAGGGCCTGTTCATTTCACCTCGTTTTGCTAAGCTGCTCGCGTCGCCAGGCCAACCCCAAATGGCCCACCTCATGAGTCCTGCTCTGCCGTGTCATTTTCAGACAATTGGCCAAATGAAGTAGCATCTCGTCATGCGCCAACTCCGAACCTGCTACCTGCTCACTCGGAGCTACCCGAATGGTTTGTCCTCTTCCGCCGACTCCCACTCGCCCCGGTTGCATCTGGCCCTGCCCCCCTCGTCTGTCAGAATGGCAGATTTGATTCGGCCCGTTGCGAGGCTAACCCATCTCTGCACTCAACATGCATTAGATAGCCCTTGTGACCTCGACCCTTTGTTGATAAGTCCATCAGTGCATCCATTCTCGCGTGCCGAACAAGTTGCCATACCCGAAACATTCGTGACTGCCGATTCTC